GTCAGAAACCTTATTGAAGCAAAACCAATCTTTGACACGGAATTGACAATTGACTTCCTTCGGATTTGTCTCACTTCCAATCAAAGAGCCAACAAATGTAACCTAATCAGCGCTTTTGCGTAGCTCTGTTTGTTCCCTACGTTTAATACTTGGGTCGTAAAATCGAGCCAACCCTTAAATAACCAATAAGCTTTCATTACCGCTGAACACACTTTCAAAGTTAACAAAATAATTCTCATGAAAATTTTGATAAATCATTCGAATTTCATGACAGAACTGGCTGGTGTTTTCCAAACGAGCGAAACGTAAGAAGGCAAATGGAAAAGCTGAAGCAGCCGTGAAATCCATGAAGAAACTGCTGATCAAGACTCACAAAGAAGGTAGTGATCCACTTGAAGCTCTATTGGAGCACCGCAACACCCCGCGACAGGACGTTGGTCTTAGCCCTGCTGAACTCATGTTCAAACGTAAGACGCGCTCACTCGTACCCTCATTCAACAAGCATCCGAGCAATGATCCCATTGAGGTAAGGCGTCAAGCGCGCAAAGACACCGTCAAGAAAAGCCATGACAGGAAAGCGCAGAGTCTCCCTGAACTGGACGTAGGACAGCACATATTCTTTCAACACTTGGAAGGAAGAGATTGGAAATTTGGTGAAGTCTCCAACATACTAGGCCCAAGAACCTATGAGGTCAAAAGACCTGATGGAAGCACATATCGACGAAATAGAGTTCACGTTAGACCCACAAAAGTAAACCTCAAGACTCGAGACACTTCCCCATCTCATGTCCCTCACTCTTCCAACCAAACAGCACCAAAAGAACAGACGGCGTCTACCAAATCTTCACCTGGTGAAGTGGCAAATAACAGTGACAACAATGCAAGCAACACCCAAAATGCTCAGCCCAACAGCCTTGTAGTAAATAGACCACGACGATCCATAAATCCTCCTGTTCGTTTTAATGACTATATAATTAAGTAATTGACACTGGTTTCTAATTGGTCATGATTTCATTATAGGCATGTTGACTTATAATCAGTGCCTCTTACTCATATCATAGTTTCGTCGACGTTGTAACTGTTTTCATTGACACTCCAAAAATGTTAAGTTTTCTTTTCTTTCCCCCAGAAGAAGGGATGTTGATTGGCTATCTCATCTGGTTGTCAGAATAAATTATCTTATGTAACGATAGACCACGAGGTGAAATAAACATGGCAGTTGTGTTGTAGAATTCTAGTGCGCTTTGCTTGCCGCTTAGTACTCCTGCCTTTAACCAACCCTACAAATCAACAAGTAGTTGTGGCCGCTTTCGCTTCTCCTTCATCGTCGTCTTGTTGCGGAGATGCAACAGCTTCGTATCTCGACAAACTCTCTAAAAGCGTCGAAATCTTTGGTCGTTTCTGAATTTCATCCCGTTCGTAAGAGGAGATAAAAGATCAAATGAACAGAGGGCATGCGGTGCGAGATAATGAAGTCCACACAAAAACAAATAACGGTTCAGTAGAAAAAAAGCCTACTGTAGTTACCTCGTACAAAGCTAAATTTCCAGCCTTTCCGGTCAAAATACTTGATTTCTTCAACTCTTTTCTGTCTGGGGCTGTAAACGGAAAACGAAGAAACCGACTTACGCACGTTTCGTTTGCGAGAAGAAAAGCATCAACTTCGACTTAGGTCGAGTTCCTCCTGGATATACGGATCTCTAAAGAGTTGCAGGGTTCAAATGAAAGGCAAATGTTGCAAAAAATTAACCTCAACGAGTGAAGTGTGAAAAAAAATTTAAAAGTTATTGTGTACGTTACACGTGGTCATTCAATTGGTTGGTACCCTCTCCTCGCAAAAAAAGTTTCCTTACATGGTTGGATAATATTCACTTCGATATCTGTTGACAGATTCACCCGTCGGAAAGTCTCTTTTGTCTATTCTGCTCCATCAGTACTGGCCTTTGATACCTTAAAACGATTGTGGGACATTTTCATCTTGAGAAAGGTTCACATCCTGCAAATCAAAGACAGCCCGTCGTCTGTCGGGCAGATCGTAAGCGTGAGGGGTAGGGTTAGGTGACAGGTGCATTGACGGGGGATTTAAAATCATTTGCCCCCTTCGTTGCAGCTCATGCGTAGTCTGATCTGCTTTTGCTTTTGTTCGTTCCATTCACCTGTACCAGGAGCCCATTAATGGGCTTCTGCCTGTACATGTACACTGGGATTACAGAGGCGCGGAAAGAGGAAAAGGCCGTGGAATATTCCATCTTTTGTGGCCCACATTCCTTCTGCTTCGTGGGATTTAAGTATCCTCTGTTTCTTTTCTATTTATTTCTTGCCTTACATCTAATTTGATCTGTTAAATAGAGTTCTTGGATCAAAATCCAAAATTTTTCTTTCCGACCCTGACGGGGGAGGGGGCTGTAAATACGAATGGGTTTTCCTCAACGAGAAAATAGTGTGGCTTGAGATGTCTGGAATTGAGCTGTCAGCTGTCTTGAAGTCACATCCCTATACTGCTTTACAGGATCCATTGTTTCTGATGCAACTTCAGCCCACAACTATGAACACTCATGTCTATCAGGATCATTCCCGGAAACACTGAGACAATGTATACAGCCCCTGGGAATCGGCAGCCCAAGGGTAACATTAAAACCTTTCTAGCTTAACGATACACCTACCAGTAACCTGAGAAGGTTAAGTAACTTCCTGTGAAACTGAATCTCCGTAGCAAGCACAGACATATTCTTGCAAGTGCAACCAGTACAACTATATAAGGTGACAACAGCGCCCATTTGTACTTAAGACGCAAGCAAAGTTACCTCTAAATCTTCAGCAGAGTGACTCGTGTAACCACCTGGGACACAGAAAATCATGAAGATAGACAAGCAAGAAAAAGAAAGACACACTACTGGCAGAATACAAGTGTTTGATCGCTTGTGTTCGGGGTCAGGCTTGTTGTTGTCTGTTGTGTGTTGTGTCGCACTAATTTACCAAGAACTCAGAATACAAGAAAATTATCGACTGATATCACACTCAGCAAAGTTCTGTGGTAAGTTGGAGCCACAAAACCTTCGAAACATGCAGCAGAATATCGGAGGATGGCAAGTTATGGTTACAGAGAGTCCCTGGCAAGGGCTCAAAGGTACTTGTTCGGATCAGAACTTAGTAAATATTTTTGACTCAACGAGGAATAGCTGGCGATAAAATCAGTTGTAATTAGTGACAGTGGTGAAGTTATAAATTATTTGTTAACTGTTTTGGTTGTTGCCATAGAGCAAGATTATCTGCTTTACTTTTATCATTGTTTGGCTTTTAAAATTGTTCACAAGTGCGTGGCAACACATCGTTACTTGTATGGCGGTGAAAACAAAAAAAACATCATTTCCGGGACTTTTTATGATGTTAAGCTCATGATTATATCCAAAGCAGCATCCCATTGGGATTGCAGCGATACTTTCAGTCGCATCATGCAGAAACTCCAAAATTACAGATCAACAGCTTCGATGATATGAGTTTTTTGGATTTCCTTGCGCATGCAGTTTTTACATTTCCCTCTAAGTTACAACGCAACACCAGCAGTGCTTATATCAGCTAATCACAGCGCAACAGCTCATGGAAATTCGGTACCAGTCCACAATGGAATCACGACATTGATTGAGGTAACAAGTTTCCTTAAGTTTAAAAATTATGTATGCCAAAGTTTTTGAACATTGCAGGAGTTTTTGACGATGAATCTCCATGAACAACCACCAAACAACCACCAAACAACCACCAAACAATAAAATTTATTTGTTTTAGCAATTAAAATGCATATTAGAATACTAATGACAAAACATGGGTCGATGTTCAGACATTCTTTGTCGCCGCTCGTTTGGTAGACTAGTCTTCTCCTACCCCACTGAAAAAAATTGGGGTTTAAGGTGGATTCTGTTCGTTTTCAGGGAACGAAATCAGATAATTTCAGATCGTTCACTATTGCTGAAAATTGATATCTCTCAAAATGGCTATTATATTAGCGACATAATTTTCTTTTGTGATAAGACTTGCACTGACAGGAAATTTGTAGAGTGTACTCGTGATGTGGGCCTTGTTTGTTCTTACAGCACCTCTACCGTTCACCAATTAACATTGCTGCGTAAATCTCACAGCTGAACAAGTACAAATATTCAGCCTGTCTTTCTCAGTATCATTCAGTTCACTTCACCTTTTCAGGACACGAACACACCTGGATTCAGAGTCTGTGTTGTAAAGGAATTGTACGAGACAAGATACGACCCCGTGTCAGTGAGCTATGTGGTCGTTACAGGTCAGTAGGACCACCTTAGTCTTGAGTGTCCATATTGTGTAATGTAGAAGGTGTCTCCTAACAAATTACTAGTTATCGTTTGTTATTAATTAATTCTTTAAGTTAAACATCGTATTCAAGTTGTACTAATCGATCGCATACTGTGGTGTAAAATTTCGGCAGATATCTGTGATCCTGGCTGGAGTTACTTGAATGGCTACTGTTACTTTACAAGTGAAACCTGTTCAAACTGGACCACACCACTGAATAAATGTCGACAGGAAAATGCTGTTCTTATTGATATAAGTAACAATGAAGAAAATGTTTACACACAACATCGTCACAATGGAGAAAAAACGTGACTGGGCTTAAACGACAAACCAGTGGAGGGAAACTTCACTTGGGCCGATCGAGAAGGAAACTTTACAGCTTGGGCCAAAAATCAGCCAAATACCTTTAATGAAGAGGATTGTGTACACGATCTTGGTGTGAAACACAACTATGAATGGAACGACGTTCAATGCGGTGATTGTCATCAGTTTACTTGTAAGAAAGGTAAAGAGACAGAAGGGTTTCGTTAAAGTAAAAATCAGGAATTCTTTTTCTCGAGCAAGTGTAATGATTAATGCTTTTCCATAATCAATCGTCGCACCCTACAGTTAGAAATAAACATTTTAATCATAAAGCTGATACAAAGATCTTCCTTTTCAGTCATAAGCTAGGATTTACTATGGCAGGTGTCATTGAAAGAAGTGCTAGACAATGGGGACAATCTTAACTATGATCCTGTAATCATTTGTTGCAACTTTACTTTTCTATGTTAATTTTATTTAAATAGTGTGAAATAACCAAGGAACCAATGAACCAACCTGTTGATTTACATTTAATTAGAGCTTATGTTTTCGGGTACTTTATTTGTTTATTTGTTTATTTAGCTACGCCTAGTTAGAATAAAATTTGTGAAAAAAAAAATTATTAGGCAGGGAGACCACTACAGCCTAACCAACCAGGAAACAAAAGGGAAGTCCAAATTGTTAGAAGCAGCAGGCTGGCGGGTATAGGAGAGACCTATGCCCGCCAACTTGACCTTTACCTCGATTAACGGCTAAAGGAAAGCTTTCTTCCTGCCTTACATTTTTAATTTCTTCTTTTAAGATCTGGATGAGTGTGAAAAAAATACCAACGATTGCCATCATTTGGCAGCCTGTACAAATGAACTAGGTGCGTATTCCTGCAAGTGTAACCATGGTTACTTTGGAGATGGATTTGAATGCTCTCTCAAGTCTTGTTCCGATATCAGACACCAGACTAGCGTAAGTGGCAGTTACTTTATTGATCCAGATGGCGCTGGAGGACTGGCACCATTTACAGTTTATTGTGACATGAGTGACAAGTATGGAGTTGGCGTGACATTGATTAGTCACGGTAGTGAAAGCAGGGCATTGGTGACTGGTTATGGCCCTCCGGGGAGTTACTCACGTGACATTCATTACACTGGAGCGAGTCTGTCTCAGCTGGCGAGTCTCACCAGAGTCTCCCCACACTGTGAGCAGTATATTAAGTATGAGTGTAACAACGCAGTCATATTTGGCGGTATCGGATACTCTTGGTGGGTCTCACCTAATTCTGTAAGGATGCATTACTGGGGCGGAGCAGCATCAGGTAGTGATAAATGCGCATGCGAGATGACCAATTCCTGTCCACGTTTAAACACAGCTTGTAACTGTGATGCAAGTGACAACGTTTGGCGTGAAGACAGCGGTTTGCTCACCGATAAGGTACATCATCCTGTCAAACAGCTCAGGTTTGGACATACAAGTCGTGGAAGTGATTACTACACATTGGGGAAATAAAAATGTCATGCAATTTCTAAGTGAATAAGATCGAATACTTCCAAATCTTTTACGTGTGAAAGGTGGCTTAAATTAGAAATGAAAGGTAAACGCCATAAGTTGGTAGCCATAGACAACTGTATCAACTCTATGATTAGCCCTCATTAGAACGGTGCAGCCACTAATTTTTCCCATTGGCAATAAATTACACTTTCGAGAAAGGACAAAACCTGGATCTAACTGATCCATGAAGTAAATATTTTAGCTGTGGCGGAATTCGATATCCTAACTTTCGTTGCCACTTGGAAAACTCCGAGCTCATGGCGTTTTTAATTAGCTTTATGCGACACAAGACTTTAATCACGAGCCTTTCTCAGTTACTGACTATATCTTTGTCTAAGGTGCAGATACGCTCAGAATAAAGCATCCCCATTGTCTCTGAATACGTTTTTTGCAGAGTAGCAATCATGATAATGGTGAAGGAGGTAAAAGCGTAAAGAACAAAGCACAGGTTTTTTTTTTTTTGCATCGGGTCTGTTAACCAAAATCACGTCGGGCGAAAGTTTGGCCTCTCAGGCAGACCCGCTAAATATTCCCGCCATTTAACAACCTTGTCTTTATTTCTCTTGCTTGTAACAAAAGCTTCTAGGAATCTAATCCGGATATTGTTTTTTGCTACGTGCTGAGCAGGAAACTTTAAGACTTCTCGATTCGAAGAGGATACGTTTGACCTCATTTAAAATAACAGTAAACTTCCCGTTGTACTCAAACACAAACTTTCTGTACTAAATAACATGACACCAGGAAATGTTCGTTTTAGGCACTGGAGAGAGAGAAATTAAAATCTCGAGCTCTTGATTTCTTTGAAGATAGTTATGACGTCGATTAAGATGTTTACAAAGTACTTGTTTAACCCAAACATGAACTTTCTTCAAACAATAAAATTACCATCTTTCTGCGTATTGTAGCAACAGGAAATTGTTATCATTATGCGTGAAACAGAGACTGATTAGGTTAAACCTCTTAGAAGATTGAGTTGACCTCATTTAAATTTAAGACTAAAGTTCCCGTTTCACTCAATTACGAAGTTTCAGCCAGCGATAAACATATCAGCTTTCTATTTACGTGCATCTGTTCATGTTTCTATTAGTTTTAGCTCCAAAGGAGGTCAAAATAAGCGACCTTGTTCCCTCAGAGGTGAAGTTGAAAACATATCAATTGATCATCGGCCTGACTCGCATGACAGCTGAACTTAACTTAAGCCAAGCAGAACTGTCGTAAGGAAATTATCGAGTGAAGCGAAAAATGTCCCGCTAATTATGTCTCATATCAAGAGTAATTTTGGGAACACTGTGAAGATGAAAAAAACAGAAAAAGAACAGAAGCTGACGAACAGAAAACAAACATTGAACCGCTTGTGTTCCGGGTCAAGCCTCTTGTTCTCTGTTTTCTGTTGTGTCGCGTTAATTCATCAGGAGCTCAGAATACAAGAAAACCATCAACTGATTTTAAACTCAGCAAAGTCAATTTCAAAGATGGAGACAGAAATCCTTCGAAAAGTACAGCCGAGTAACAGAGGATGGAACAGTATGGAACCACTCCTTTGTTACGCCGC